TAATACATATCATCATATCTATATTTTTACATAAGTGGAAATGCTCCTCTACCCCTAATATAAGTATATAATACAAATATTTCATGGTTGAAATCAGTTATTAAACTATAGAACATATCTAAATATCAATTTAAATAATTTTTGATACTTGTAAGGTCAAATAATATATTGAATTTTTCATTTTTATGTGATCTTTAAATAATAATTCTGCACGAGGTCTTTTGTAAATTACGAGAAACTTCACTCTTCAAATATCAGTTATCGACAAGACAATTATTTTATCAAATTTATATTTTAATTGATGCAACAACTATAACTTTTAGATTCTGACTAGGTTTGAATTTAAACAAACAACCTAAGCATAAAACTTCCAGTAACAACATTATAAATATTTAAGGAAAATTAAGTTTTAAACAGTATTTTCCCCTTCCAGTAAATTTTGTTTTGAGTACAAAGCTGCACAATGGTTAATATGTGTGTATTTGCCATAGGAATTGAATTATCATATTATAAGCCCTCCAAGTACCAGCCGACATACTAGAGGATTTGAATATCACCAGGTTTAAAATACCAAAGCTCAACAATAGAAAATATCTTTTGAATAACACAAACATAAGACACCAGCAAAAATAACTCTGTCTAATCTTCACTTTCTTTTCTATTCTTTAAGGCACATTTTTTTGGGCAAATAAAAACAAAAGCTTATATCTTTAGATTTGGCAGATCTGTATAAATATTTGATAACTGACTTCAAACAGACTATATTTTTAAATTGGCAATGCTACAATACACCAAAATAATCTATAATATAAATATAGAGAAATTTAAAATATCAAGCTTTTAGTCTGCAGGCACTTCATTTCAAAGTCACAAAATAAAAACACCAGTTATACAACCATTTTCATCTCCAAAGTTTTGCTTGCTAACAAAATATTGAACTGCTTAACAACAAAAACAATAATTTTTCTAAAATCAACCAGGATTCATTGATATTTCACAGATACAGGAGCATTTCATGATTTCAATATGCAAACTGTTTTATCTTAAGGTTTTTAATATATATAAAAAAAAAATTCATGAAGATGTTGATTTCACAAGTTGAAATTATGTTGCATTTTATTACATAAAAACAAGATTGAAATCTCTTAAAAAACAAGTGTTCTTGAACACAAAAACTTTTATATTTCACCAATTTACCGATATTCAAGTGAAATTCACATTATAGAGAATGTTTCGAAGCTATTCGGTGTCACAGAAACTATCCTGAAAATATCTAAAGGATTTAAAAAACTAAATTGAAACAGCAAGAATATCACTTCAGGATATTTTAGGGTCATTTACTAAAGACTAGGACTGGATACATACAACTATAATTTTGACTCAAACTGTTTTAGTTGCTGAAACCTTAGAACTTTTTAATACTCTGTACAACAGATTGACAAAGATATGGCATGGAAAATGTTCAATGTTTTCAGTTATCACCAGTAAATACATATAAAATTTCCCAGTCAATATTTGTAAAAATATATATTTATATGTTTTTGTTTGTTCTGAATATGCAACAGTTACTGTAACTACACCTGAAGTAAAGGCTGCTACGGAGGCTCAAATACACTAATAAAAACTGTGGATAAAAAAATATATAACCATCATACACTATCTATTATATAATTATACACACAGTGCATAAACAGTTAATATAATCATCTTTTCAAAATGGGAAAGAAAAAAAGGTACACATAAATGTTTCAGTTGAGCTTGACATAAACCGGTAAAGACCTAAGATATGCAGTACACATGCTACTATATAGTTTTATACTAATCAAAACTATGATTAATCAATAAGGGTTTCGTGATGATAACATTTAAACAGCTTAGTCAACTTACAGATATACTGACATAGGAACAAAGATGGGCAATATCTCTTCTACATAATTTCTAATTCACAACCTTCTATACCTTGCACTGAACACGAATAATCTAAAGACAACGTTTAAATCAAGAAACACACTGAAGAATCTAAAGACAAT